GGGCAAGCCACTCCAATATCTTTGCCAAGAAGACCCCAAATGGGGTCACGGAGAGTCGTACATGACTGAGAATGACTGAACAACAAACCTCTTTGACTTCTTAACTCTCTGGCTGTAGGCAGGGATCTAGGTGACCAGCAGGTGGCGCTCTCTTCTCTTTCAGTCCAGCTCCACAACCTGACCTCTGGACCAGCCACTGGAGCGGTAGGGTGGGGGACGGTGTTTGATCCTCTGGATCCCAGAGGTAGAAAGCCAGATCTCAGTGCTAGAACGGGTCTGGGAGGTCATCCAGTCCAACCTCCTACCCTGTGCAACTGAACTGCATTCAAATACAGGAGCCCTGACCTTCCGTCCCCTCCCTCTCCCCAACTTTTCAAGACAGGTAGCCAGTTACCCACCTTTGCTCTCTGAGGAGCTCATTACCTTCAGATGCAACCCCATTTTTTTCTGGGACTCTTCTGATTGAAAGGAAGAAGACTTCCTGGTAAATCTCTCAGAGGGCGGAAATCTGCCTCCCAAGGACATTGGAAGGCAACCTCAGGCTAAATCCCAGAGGAAGGGAAGTATACATGAGGCTTGAGATGACCTTCCTCCTTGGACCTCACACACTGCTTTGTTTTACTTGGCTTGAACGTGCTTATATCCTGTGATATTATATTTTAGAAATCTCTGGGTTTGTGTCTTTACTCAACTATAAACTTTACGAAGGCAGGCACCACATCACAGGTATGGTTCCCCCAGCACCTAATGCTAGGGAGGTGATCCATGACATGCAAGTGAATTGGATTTAAGCGAAGCAGGGCTGTGCCAAGTCACCAGCCTCACTTTCTCCTCTGAGCCATCTGGGTCCAGTGTCCAAATATGGATCAGGACAAGCGGAGATGGCCCCAGATGCAGTGGAAGACCTTGGTCTTTTAAAGCTAAGGTATTTAGAAGGTTTCAGTTTGACTGAGGCAAAGCCCATTCAGTGATTAAGGTTAGGTAATCACAGTGGTGGATAGAGAAGTGACTGCAGATCAGGGTTCAAATCTTGCCTCTGATGCTTATTAACTGGGGTCATTGTGCCCAGATGAGAGATTGGAATGAATCTGGGTCCCTTCCAGCTCTAAGACTGTGAAGTTTGCCTGTTTTTGGTGCCTTGAGAGCCTTTCAGATGTAGCAAGGTGAAGATATGTGGACCCTAAGATTTCCCTTCTCTAGTTCCCTCTGGATGGAATTCTACCAGTCTTTGTGAGGTTTGGATGCCATATGCCTGTTTTTCTCTATTATTGTTGTTGGATTCTCCTCTTGGGATTCATGAGGAAGCTTCCAGGCACTGAGCTGAGGTCATTTCAGGTAAGCTGCTGATTTGGTCCAGTGGCTGGTTGCTAGATCTTCTACTGACTACTTCTATTATAACTTCCACTTATACAAGTGATGTGTGTGTGTGTGTGTGTGTGAAGCCTTTCCCTCCAAAGATATTCTAAACTCAGCGTAGGGCCAGTGAGCAGGGCCCAGAGGGATTTCTCCAAAAGGACCCCTTCTGCCAGGGATCTCAAAGCATCGCCAAGTTTATTGGTGCTCTTAAGCCCATGAACATAACTGAAATAATTCAATTCTATTCCATTCAATAGACATGTATTAAACCCCTACTGTGTGCCAGGCATTGTGCTAAGTGATGGGGACACAAAAAGAGGCAAAAGACAGTCCCTGCGCTCAAGGAGCTTACAATCTCAGACATAAGAATTACTGGGTGGAGATACCAGCTTCAAAGGGAGTCTATGGAGAAGTAGAAGGATTTGAGCTGATGCTGATGGAGAAGGAATTATGAAGGTGATCTGCAGAGCTTTGGAGTTGTGGAGATCAGGGGTTGAATTGAGGGCAGGGGGAAAAGTAGGAGGGCTTGGCTGAAGTTCAAAGAGAATAGAAGGCCTTGAACTGAAATCCTCCCAACCTCCCCCAGGACACCACAGCTCTCCAAGTATTTGAAAGGCTATCTGTCACAGGGAAGAAAGCTAGAACCTGGAGGACTGCCTGGAAGTGGCAGGAAAATTTTGGCTTGAGGATATCAGGAAAATGTCTTAACAATTAGAAAAATGGAATGTCTAGCCTCAAGAGGTGGTGGGCACTTTCTCCTTGGGGGTTTTCAAGTAGAGGTGGGATGACAGCTTGTCTAACGTGAGGTAAAGGGATACAATATGTAACAAGTACAAGGTGGGCTATAAGGCCTTTTGAGGCCCCTTCCAATTTTGTATCTATATGATCCTTGGCCTCCTGGGCTATTAGTGCTACAATTCCCGAAGACATGGGCTTTTCAGATAACCTGGGTACCAGAATTCCCCATCCTTCCTGAGAAGTGGACTCCAACTTTCTAGAGATGAGGTACCACCAATCTTGAGACGTTTGGGCACCAGAATTCCCCAGGAAGCCAACCATAGTATTTCCAAGAATGAGATACCAGCATTCCCAGTGACTTGGGCACCATAATTCCAGAAAGAAACGGACGTCAGCATTTCCAGAGAAGTGGACGTCTCTCACATTCCTAGAGACAAGACACCAGTTGGTGATAGATTCGAAATCCCAGGACATGGGTTCGAATACCCTGTTCTGACCTTGGACAAATCCCCTTAACCCGTCTGGGCCCCTTTCCACTTCTGTAAAGTGCTCGGGCTGCGCCAGGTGAGGTCTAAGGTGACTTCCACATCCCAGCAGTATAAATGTAAGCTCCTTCTGGGCAGTGGATTGTGACTTGAGTCTTTGTACCCCCAGGGCCTGGAGCCAGTAGATTGAGTGACAGGCTCCAAGCCTAAATCTAGCGGTGCCCTAGTCCAGCATTCCCAGAGGAGGAGACGCCCGCTAGCCCCGGGCTCTAGGGCGCAGGTCGTGCTACGCGGTGCGGGGCTGGGAGGACGGCGCTGCCCGCAGCTCTCGGCAGGGGGCCGCGCTCCCTCATCCATCCCCCTCCTTGGCGTTCCCGCGCTCCCCGCGCTCCCCCCGGCTCTCCCGCCCGCCAACTCGGCTCCTCCCCGGCGGTGGGGGCGGCCCCGGGCCGGCGGCGGCGGCGGCGGCGCACGCTTCCTGCGGGGCGGCGGCTGAGGCTGGAGCTGGGTCTGGGGCTGAGCGAGCGGCGCGGAGCTCGAGCCTGAGCCAGAGCGCAGCGTAGCCCGATCTGGAGGCGAAGCCCGAGCGCAGCGGAGCCTGAGCCCGAGCCGGAGCCGGAGTCCGAGCGCAGCAGAGCCCCAGCCGGGAGCCCGAGCCCCCGGAGCCGGGAACCCGAGCAGAGCCCACTGCGGCCCGGATCGCGGGCGCTGTAGACCCCGCAGCCCCCGCGGGCGCCGAGCCGGCCCGCCCTTCCTGCCGGGGCTCTCCCCGCGCGCTCCGCCCCGGGCCGCCCCCGGAGGCGCCTCGGGAACAAAGGCGCCGGACCCGCCCCCGGCCCCCAGCCCCCAGCCCCCGCCCCGCCCCGCCGGGCCCCTAGTCTGCAGCCATGAAGCCGGGGCCGCCGCACCGAGCAGGGGCCGGGGCCGGGGCTGGGGCAGGGAGCGGGAGCGGGAGTGGGGCCGGGGCTGGGACCGGCGCGGGAGCGGGGGCTGGGGCCGGGGCCCGCGGGATGCTGTTGCCGCCGCTGCTGCTGCTGCTCTTGGCGGGACGCGCCGCCGGGGTGAGTGAGAGATGGGAGACCCCCTCCCCAGAATCCCCTCTCCGCCCTCCAGGGATCTCCCCTCCCCCTCCCCCAGTGTCTCCCCCCTTTTCCCTTCCCCTTGAATCCTCCTCCCCTTCCCCAAATTTCCCTCCTTTCCCCCACCGCAGGTGTCCCCTCCCCCTCTCCCTAAATATCCGTCTCCCGCCTCCCCTAGTGTCCCCCCTCCTCGTGTCCACCCTTCCCCTCTCCCCAAATGGCCACTACCCAAAGTGTATCCTCCTCCCCAGCCCCTTCCCCAAATGTTTCTGTCCTCCCCTCCCCAGGTGTCCCCCTTCTCTTCTCTTCAAATACCCCCTTCCCTTCCTCCTCATGTTTTCTCCCTGGACCTCTCCCCAGCCCTGGGACTCCAGTGTCCTTCTCCCTTACTGACCCCTCCTCAGCCAGCTTCCTTCTCCTCCTCCGCCTCCTCCATGCTCTCCCTCTGCTCTTGACCCTTCTTCCACCTTCCCTACTGCTGTTCCCTAACCCTTCTTCCTAGGGCCTCCTCCCCTCTCCTTCCCCTCTCCTGATTAGGGCCTGTCTAGCACAGTCCCTCCTCTGAAGCCCCTTCTCTACTCTGCTTTAGATAGCTACTCCAGGTGCTTCTGCCTGTGATTTGAGGGGACCACTTTGACCCCCATTTGTGCATCCTTTGTATCCCCTCCCCATACCCCTGTGCCCCTCAAATTGAGGCCCTGCTGGGAGCTGGACCTTGTCACCCTTCTCGACACAGCCCTAATCATACAGTGGGGAGAAGGCTGGTGGGTGTGACCACTGTGTTTTGGGAGAGGGGCATCTGGGTATTGCTGCTGCTGAATGTCTCTGAATATGGGTGTGTCCCGTATCTGAGCTTCTCTGGTCACTGTCCATTTCCAGGTGAACAGAAAACATTGGTCTCAGGGGATTCCTTTGTGTCCTCCTTTGGAGAAGCAGATTTCTCACTCTTTGAGGGTCACCTGTGTGAGGGTATTGGGGCATATAAGGTTTACTAGGGTCAGACATGAGTGTGATGGTGATGGACCATGTGTGGGAGACGCAAATAGGAGATGGGGTAAGTAGGCAGGGGTAACCCAGGTATGGGTGATGGTGATTAGGTATATATATATGTGTGTGTGTGTGTGTGTGAAGGTGACCTGGATGCATGATGGTGAAGGGTGTATATGTGTAATTGGGGTGTATACAAGAGAGTGACGTGGAGTATAACTGGGATTTGTATGTGTGGGGGCCATGGGTATGTATGTGAAAGAGTATGTGTGTGTGAATGAGAGAGACTGATGGGTGTGTGTGCTGGTGACTGTGTATGTGTGACCATGAGGGGTGTGTGTGTATATGTGTGTGTGTGTGAGTGATAGTGACCTGGTTGCATGTGACTGTGAGGGGTATGTATGGGTATGCGTTGGTGACCTGAATGTGTGACTGTGAGGGGTGTGTGATGGGGATCTGAGTTTATAGAACTGTTTGTGTGATTGTGTCCTACGTGTGAGCGTGTGTGTGAGCGCACACACATGTGCACATGATACGGGCCCGGAGCTGGGAGCTGGGGAGTTCTATTTTAACTACTGGCTGGCTGAGCCTGTGTTTGGAGGCATAGGAAGAGGGTGGTGAAGAAACCACCTCTGTGGTCATGGGCCATCTCTCCACTGGGATAGAGGAGGCCTTATGGGGAGGGGGATCCAAGGTCAATACATCAGGAGGGGCTGGAGACCATAGATCTCTTTGCTGGACAGTGTCAGAGTCTTAATCTGGGATGGCTTGTAGCTATGAGACCCCCTGGAGCAAGAGTTAAGATCTATTGTCCTCTCCTCCTGCCCCCCCCCCCAATTCCAAAGTTGTGAAATGATCTGGAGGTGGGGGGATAGGGCTGACAGTGGTTGAGGGTGGGTAGCCATGGTCACTCTTCCTTGGGGAGTAAGGAAGAAGGAGGTGAATAGAACGTGGTGCTTTAAGGCCTGGGGGATTAGGTCTTGCAGAAGACTGGGTGGGTGGAGATGGCCCACCCATATGTGGTTTATCCAGATCCTCTCCCCTCTCTCCCCTGGCCCCCATGGGAGGTCAGGGCTGTGGATGGGAGAGGGGGCAGCCATAGGAATGGTCCAGGAGGAGTTCAGGGTGCCCAGGACTCTTAGAAGATCCAGGAGCTACTACCTTGAGCAGGGAGGGTCTCATTAATCTAATGCTTGGAAACTGCCATCATCGTCCATTCTCTTGTGTTAGACATCAAGGAGTTCAAGTCTCATGTCATTTCCTATGCCATAGCCATGAAGTAGGTGGGACAAGCATTATTAGTAATTGTTTTGGAAAACAGACACAGCCCAGCACCTTAAGTATTGGGTAGAATACCAGAGTCGAGTCAGAAAGATCTGCCTCAGACTTACTAGCTGTGTGATTCTAGGCATGGCATTTATACCTTCCCAGCCTTAGTTTGCTTATCTGTAAAATGGGAATGTTAATAGCACCTACTTCCCAGGTTGTTGTGGGGACCAAATGAGATAACATTTGGAAACCTTAAATGCTATATAAATGTTAGTTATGATAAGAATGAAGTTCTTGGAGTCAGGAAGCCTGAATTCATACTCAAGCACTCTACTGACCCAGGGCAAATTATTTCACCTTCCCAATTCAATCTGATCTGGTAAGTATTATGGAATGCCTACTATGTGCAGGGAAGGCACTGTGTGAGTTGCTGGGGCATAGGATGTTTGATAATTTGAAGAAGAAATGTGTTACAGGGAAGTGTTGTGTTTGGAATCATGAGATCTTGACTTCCTGTCCCAGCCCTGTCACTTTTTAGCTGTGTGACCTTGGACAAGCTACACCAGCTCTGTGGGCCTCTTCTTGCCCTCTGAAGAATGAGGGGATCAGACAAGGTGATCCCTAAGTTTGCTTGTGGCTTTAAATTTGTGACCTCTGGGGGTGCGTCAGGGAAGGCTTCCCATAGGAGGGGGTATCTGAGCTGCATCTTGAAAGAAGCTAGGGATTGTCAGAGGTGGGAGAGAACCTTATTTCTTCAACCAGTAAAAGGGAGATAATACTTGCAGTGGGGCAGCTCGGTGGCACAGTGGATAGAGCCCTAGCCTAGAGTGTAGAAGATCTGAGTTCAAATCCAGCCTCAGACTCTTACTAGCTGTGTAACCCTGGTCAAGTTACTTTGTCCTGCGTGCCTCAGTTCTGTAAAATGAGCTGGAGAAGGAAATGGCAAACTTCTCCATAATCTTTGCCAGGAAAACACTAAGCGGGGTTATGAAGGGTCAGACACAAATGAACAACACATATTTGCTTTCCTACTTTATACGTGTGAAGGTACTCTGAGTGTATTGTCGTTATCCGCATTTCATAGATGAAAGGGTTTCACATGGGGCCAGCAGAGACTAGGGGGTCCCCTGGGATCCAGGGGGCCAAAGGGCTTCCCCCTTTGGGAAGCCTCAGCTTCCTAGGCAAGCCAGAAGAAGACGAAATAAGCTGCAGGTGGAACTAATATTTGCTTGAAAGCACCCCAGCTCGGAGGAAGCTGTAGTATGAATCCCTGTCCTTGGGCATCACTTAAAGCCAGGATATGGTTTATTTTGACCTGATTTTGCTAGGAGACCGAGGAACAGAGTAACCCCTCTATACTCCTGGAAGTGACATCAGTCTGGGGGAGGAGGTCCCTGTGCTGACCTCCCAGATTCATTGCAGTCACCTACCTGCCTCGAAGGAGGGCTGTACTCAGTGATGAGGGGTAGGAGGTTAATATCTCAGCATCATAGTCTTGGAGTGGGAAGGGAACTGAGGGGTCTGAGAGTCCAGGATCTCACCAATAAAGGAACTCTTTCTATAGTGTCCCAGAAAGTTGGTTAGCCAGTCAACTGACATTTATTAAATGCCTACTGTGTGCCAGGCACCGTGCTAAGCAATAGGGTCACAAAGGCAAAAACTGAGACAGTCTCTGCTCTCAAGCTTACAGTCTAATGGTCATTCTGCCTGTGCTCAAACACCCCAGTGACAGGGGCTCATTACCTTACAAAGCAGACAATTCCATTGTTACATAGTTATGATTAAGAAAAGCACCAGGTGGAGGGAAGAGGGGAGGATTGGTCAGTCAGTGAATATTTATAAAGAAATATTCACAGCACCACAATATTAGGGATAGAAGGGATGTTAGGGTATAGTGAGTTAGAATTATGGACCCATTGGATGATAGATTTAGAGATGGAATAGGTCAAAGGTCATCCAGTCCAATACCTTCACTTTACAGATGAGAAAACTCAGGTGATTTTAAGCAGCAGAACTGAGAGTTTGAACCCTAGTTGTGTGCTTCCTTTCCACCCTACCACATTGCACTGACTTCCCTAACAGAGAATATTATCTGCTCTGGAAAAGGCCTGCTAGTGCAGTTCCCAACTAGCTGACCAGAAAGTTAGATCAAGTCCAGTTTGGGGATAGTAGCTTCCCTAGTCCTAGACATGCTGGCCAGCAGACTAGCTCCTTATCATTGAAAGTGTGAATATAAAAGATATAAAGACATGAAAAGATACGAGGCTACATATTCTAAGTGCCAAAGATGGGAGAGGGAGAGGGAGGGAGGGAGAGAGGAAGGAGGGGAGGACAACATTGAGGCATGGTACAATAAACAGACAATGAGAGAGGGAGAGAGAGAGAGGGAGAGAGAGAGAGAGAGAGGAGAATAAGAAGAAGAAGAGGAGAGGAGAGGAGAAAAGAGAGAAAAGATAGAGAAGAGGAGGGGAGAGGGAGGAAAGAGGAGAGAAAAGAGAAGAGGAGGAGAGAGAGATAAAATAAGAGGAAAGAAAAGAGAGAAGAGAGAAGAGGGAGAGAGAAAGAGAGAGAGAAAAGAAAAGAAAGGAGAGGAGAGAAAAGAAGAGGGGAGAGAGAGAAAAAGAGAGAGAGAAAAGAAAAGAAAAAAGAAAAGAGAAGAAAGAAAAGAGAGAAAAAGGGGAGAGATAAAAGAAGAGGAAAGAAAAGAGAGAAGAGAGAGGGAGAGA